CAAATGACAGCAAGATTTATTGTCAAAATCGTGCAATATGCCATGGCGCACGGTGCTTGAGCAACAGCGTATGGTACAAAGGCATACAAACTAAGGTGTAGGGGTGACAAGCCACGGCGCACGCCTCTCTACTACACTGATTTACCATTTTCAATCTTTATGTAAATGTTTTAATTCTTTCTAAGATCCTTTACTTTCGCATTCTAATTTAAACTCTGATTTATACTTGTAAAGATGATTCTATTAGTTTGGAAAACTTAAAAACTTGAGATCTCATTTGTGTAATTTCTACAAATTTGGTAATTAACTTATTGTTTGAAGATTAGGGTGGATTAGTAAGGGTAACCTTACTAATCTAACCTAAAGATTTTAGAACTTAATATTAGTTTCTCTTGTTTTAAGAAATGGTTTGTGGAGATTGTGTTGAGTTGTGATTGTGTTTGTACATTTGCATATAGAGTTGGAAACTATCATTATATACATATTGTTTTCCTCTCTTGAGCTAGTACTAATCCTTTCCTTTTTGTGGGATTACTTCCATCCTTAGGAGGGGAGAATGGTGCAAATGAGAAATATGACCAGCAATATCCCGACAAATGTATCGAGATATAAGAGAGAAGTCTTAATAGAGGTGGAGGATGAGATGATCCCAAATGAAGAAGAACAAGTAGAGTTGGAACAAGGTTAAGAGCAACCAATGCCCTCTACAGGCAGTGATAATGTACTGCTCAAGTTGAGACCAATGATGAAGATAATTAAGAGAAGATTAGATGGACATGATAAAATTCTCATCAAGAAGCCTGATAAAGGGTGTAGTAAAATGCTTAAGAAGATCAGAGAAAATCATGAGAAGAAGAAGAGTATAGAAATAGCTGAAGAAGTGCATAGGCACAAAGATGAGGAGTAATATAAGGAGAGTGCACCAAAGAGGCCAACACATATAATGAGGCCTAAGGAGAGGGAGCATGAGAGCTCCATCAACTATACACTTGAAAGATTTATGAGGTTGAGTCCTTCCCACTTTGATGGTTCCATGGAGAATAGGGCTGGAGAGAAGTAGATTGACCGGCTAGAGATACTTTTCTTATTAATGACATGCACAATAAAGCTACAGGTCCTCCAAACTACTTTCATGTTAGAAGATGTAAAGCTAGTTGATGGCTCTTTACTCAACACAAAATATGCTTCCAACCAACACAAAACCCATAATGCAAGTGGATTAAAAATATATTACCTTAATTGACAATATCATAAACTGAATACACATATCAAAATAAAAAAAAGGAAGGCCTACAGAAGTGATTGTTATCACTTGGCCTGATGCTCCTTTCCTCTATTCTTTACAAATGAGCTAGCTCCTATAACATATTAAAAGAGAGGTATGAATACAATCACTTAATAACTAAGGTACATCCAAGTTATATAAATGCATAATAATTAATCATGAATGCAAGTAACTAATAAATTTATCAAGATAACCATGTAAACAATCATATAAAGGTCATATTAATCATATTAACATCTAACTCGTGTGAATAATGTCTAGAAGAACGTCAAGTACAAAATTGGCAAGATTGCCTATAAGTATTTAATGTTAGCACAAAATTGGCACAAATGCCTACATGTATAATTTCATAACTACAATCATAGCCTTAAACATAGCCATCAATTGCTCAAATGGCATAACATAATGAAATACATGATTAATTTCTTTCTTATATCCCCTTTATTTTCTCTAACATGAAATTCATAGGCCAACAACCAAAAGGGATCGTCCATATGGTGGGATTATCCAAGGATTTAATCATATCATGAAGGGCTACTAGGCTAAAGTTACCTTGCTCACTTATGAACCTAGCTTCATCCAAATCACACACTATAGGGTGTTATATCTAAGACTAGCTTTACTCAAAACTCCAGGTAAACTAATAGGGTCAAGTCTCTTAGTGGGAACGATGCTGCAGTACCTTACAACGTAAGTAGCGGCTATAACCTTAATCATTAACAATTAATAGCCAAGTACCATATGAGTTTTGCACAACTGCTAGCTACTTTACTAAGGCGAACTCTCGCCATATGATTATGCTTATGAGAAAATACATTTCAATAACTTTCATGCATGTAATTCATAATTATCCCACATGCTTCTCAATTTTCATGCTCAAAAGCATCAAGAATCATCATATTTCAATGATGCCTCATACATCAATTTTCATGTATAATCCACAATTTATAATCAAGAGTGTATACCTCATCATCAACCCTCAATTTCATTGCTCAAATTATGTCACATTATCCCATAAAAGCATTAATTAGTATTACCATTCAACATTACAAGCAAGCTTTCCCATTCATTTCTTTTTCTCTACATACGGCTATGATGTTCAAATTCTTTACATGTGCCACAATTAACTTTGTCGCAAATTATAGGATAGCAACAAGGCCACATATGCTTCACAAAAACAATTTCAAGATTTGGAGATATACATATATATATATATATATATGTATGTATGTATGTATGTATGTATGTATGTATGTTCATTTCTTTCACAAACATAAACAATTTATTAACACACAAATGCATATAATAAATTTTCTCTAGTTCCTTCAACCTTTGAGAGGTCAAATATTACTCCTCAAATCATTACTTTCAAAGCTTTTCAAAACTTGAATGATGCCAAATGAAAATTAATCTACAATTAACCATATCCCAATGCATCAATAATGTTATTAACATAATTTCTACTCATATTCCAACACTTGAATATTTATTTTATTATTTTTTAAGACCTTAGTCTTAGCCTCTTAAATTTTAAAATTCAATTTCATATATTCAAACCTATTCACTTAGTCCAATAGCTTCCTTCACAATAGTTTCATTAAAGTTTTGGCTAAAATCATCCTCCAAACAATTTTCTAATATCAAAATTTCACTTTTCATCTCATAAATCTACACCTCAAAACATCCAAAAATTGCAAACTTAGTTTCAAGCTTTAAATAATTATTTTATAGCCATAATAATCCATTTTTTATTCTAAATAATTATCTAAATATCAACAAATTAATTTATATTTTTATATTTAACCAAAAATTTATCATAGAGGTCTAGAGTTTAACTCAATTTTTAAATTTAAATTTCATTAATAAAATAATACTCTATAATATTTATTATATTATCAATAACTTTAACAATCATTTATTCATAAAAATTAATCCCTCTTTTAAATTTAAATTTTTTATAATTTAAAAATCAAAAACTAAAGAGAATAAATGGTTAAATTTTTTTTAAATATTTATATAATCTTAAAAAGTTTGAAACCTCTCTCAAGATATTCTATGATGAAACTTACCTTCTAAGTTAGCTTTGACCAGTGACTAGCGCACGCTCTGTTTTCTTTTCTCTTGGTCTTCTCTGTCAAGCGCGAGAAGAGAGATGAGGAAGGGAAGAAAAAAAAATGAAAAGAGAATGATGGTGTGTGTTGTTGTTGTTTTTTTTTTTTAAAGGTGTGGGTCGCACACTCACTTTCTTTCATTTCTTTCTTTCTTTTTCTCTTTATATGTATTTACACCAAACACACACCAGCGGATTTCATCCGTCCCCTACCCCCCTTTTTTTTTTCGTTTTTATTATTTTTATCTCTTTTCTTCTTTTCTTTTAATACTATTATTATTATTTTTATTTTAAAAAAATCATAACTTAGAATTTTATCTAAATTAGATCCAAATAATAACCTCCTAACCAAAATTATTTATTTTTAAATATTCCTTCAAAATTACTCATTTGCTCTTAGTTAACTTAATTAATCTTGAGTTAAATTTTGATATGTTACACAAACTCTCAAAGGTAGGTCTACTTGTTAAAGGTAAAGGAGGTTCAGTGTCAATATATTCCTCAACCACTTTTTCATCAACTACAATAAATATTAACTAAATTGTGTCATTATTAAATATATATATATATATATATATATATCACAAGAAAAAATATAAAATTACCATATAATGGTGGCACAAAACCATGCAACTAATTGCGGGTATAAATTGAAGCTTGCATATTATCTCAAAGGAGACTATAACAATACTTTGTTAGGACATGAGAGCCTATGCTAAAAGCTAATTCACTAGTTATTATAATGATTGCAATACTTAATCAAAATATCATATGCTATCCTTGAAAGATTTAAAAATTATTGTTGATTAGTCTTCCACCAATGCAACACATTTAAAATTTAGAAACCGGTGACCATCAAAGAAAGCTTCTTCCAAATAATAATATAATTCAAATTTCAAAATGGAAGAAACATCTTTACTCTTGAAATCAAGAAAATTCTACATTTAAAAAATAAAATAAAAAGTATCAAACAAGGAATTATAAGCCAAAAGCAATGAGATAATGTGCATTAGACAACTAAAACTTACACCATAAAGTTGAGTCTAAAATATGGCCGATTCCCTCTTCTTTAATTTCTGTCATTCTTTCACTTGTGCTTGAGCTTATTGACTTTGTATTGGAGTTAAACTTGATATAAGATTAATAAAAGATCCACCCATATATTTGTATTGATCAAAGATATAATATAACTTTTGCCAGAATTTTGGTGCCTATTATAGAAGACCATTTTTTTTAAAAAAAATAAATCCAAACCTAAATGGGAATTTTTTTAATGGCCATTTTTTAACAATCTAAAATTGAACAATGGTAATTTCTTCTCTGCCAAAAGTCAATGCCCAATAGTCCAGAATATTAAACATTTCTTAAATAAGTTTTTTTGGGTTATCGCATTTTAAGTGTGGCTCTGGTCAGTTAAGCTACCATTTAGTTTCTTTTAATCTTCTCAATTTGCCTTTAACATTATGACTTTCTTTTTCTTTTTTTGTTATTAATATATTTGATCTTCTTACAAAAAAAACAAAAAATTAGGGCACACCACGCTTTCTTTCTTTGTTTTATTTTTCTTGGCCGGAACACGCTACACTCTTCATTAGTCTTCTCGATTTTGGACAAACTCTTCATCAGCCTTCAAACCCTTAAATTTTTATCAGTTGTCAGGCGTCTTACAACGCACGTTTTTTACTTTCCCTGTCGTTTTCGAAGAGAACAATGGCTTTGGTATTTTTCATGTCCGCCAAGACAGATCTTCGTGCTCTACTTATAGTCTGCAACTTCTCTTGAATCTCTTCTGGTATAGACATGGCAGAAATGGCGAGCAACGAATCAGCTTCACCCTTACTAGGGGAAGCGAACACCACTTTGCTGCTGCAAAATCGCCCACCTTCATCAACGTCTATTCCATTGAAAGGCCACCAAGGCCTCGCTCAAAGGGTTTGGATTGAATCAAAGAAGCTCTGGCACGTAGCTGGACCCTCAATTTTCAGCCGTCTACTTTCCTATTCCATACTCGTCATCACCCAAGCATCCGCCGGCCATCTCGGTGACCTCGAGCTCGCTGCCATGTCCATTGTCATAAATGTCATTGTGGGACTCGACGTCGGACTCATGGTATGTATATAACATTTCTTACTTCAAAGTCGTAATCTTTTCTTTGAGCCAACATGAGATCGATATACAATGGGTTTGTGTTTGATCAGCTGGGTATGGCAAGCGCCTTAGAAACACTATGTGGGCAAGCTTACGGGGCCAAGAAGTACAGCATGCTGGGGGTTTACCTACAACGTTCATGGATCGTTCTCTTGACGTGTTGTGTTGTGCTTTTGCCTGTGTTTCTGTATGCTTCGCCAGTGTTGAAGCTTCTGGGCCAGCCACCTGAGATAGCAGAGATGTGTGGTGTTTTGTCTGTGTGGATGATCCCTCTTCACTTCAGCATGGCGATCCAGTTCCCTCTGTGGAGGTTTCTGCAGTGCCAGTTGAAGGCAGGTGTGATTGCTTGGGTGTGCTTATTGACACTGGCTTTTCATATTGTCGTGACTTGGTTATTTGTGTACAAACTTGAGCTTGGAGTTATTGGATCAGCTGCAACTATAAATATATCATGGTGGATTATGAATTTAGGGCTTCTGGTTTACGCTTGTTGTGGATGTTGCCCTCTTTCATGGACTGGTTTCTCCATTGATGCTTTTTCTGGCTTATGGGAATTCCTCAAACTCTCTGTTGCTTCTGGGATCATGCTCTGGTACCGCTTATAATATACTATATTTTGTTAATAATATAAATATGTATGACATGTGATTCAGAACTGTCAGGTAAAGTGGTAAACATGCACGATATGAAATAGATGCTTTTTTATGATTGTTCTATTATTGTTGGAAATGATGGTATGTATGTTTTTTTTTCCCCCCCTCACTTGCAGCTTGGAGAATTGGTATTATAGAATACTGGTATTGATGACAGGAAATCTTGACAACGCCCAGGTTGCTATCGATGCTTTGTCAATATGGTAAACACCTTTTCTTCCTTGTTGCATATATTAATATATATTTCCTTTTTAACTATTACAATGTTAACTTTAATTTTCTTCTCTATTTTTTTTATTTGCATCCCAACACTTCATGGAATGATTTTTTGTATTTAATATGTGGCAAAAGCATGGGTATAAATGCTTGGGAGATGATGATTCCTATGGCGTTTTTGGCTGCGACTGGGTAATTGATACTATCTCTTAACATTTTACTCTTGAAACATTCAAATTAGTAGTGGTGGCATCAACAATTCTTGTTTAAATCAATTCAACGTAATTATAAGAAACAAGCGTGACTGAGGCGTCGTCGGATTAATACATGAGGCTATCAAGCCTCGAATTATATATATGTACAGTGGCTGTAACAAGCATGTCCGTGTACATATGTATATATATTTTGTTTGTCACAGTTTCTGGCTCTTTGTCGTATGGCTCAGCATTTGTGCACATGCATACATGTATATAAATAATAAACATATGAATAGTGATCTATCAATTTTGGAAGGTTTTTCTTGTTGGGTAGTTTTTGGATTGGTCCAGTGTGAATTTAATTTCGATGCCTTCCACTGTGCTACCAGACAAAAAATCCCCAGCAGATCTAAAATACGGGTGTCCTCTTTTTTCTTGTTTATTTCTCTTTTCATGTGGCAAGCAACTAGTTCTCCTAGTTTTATAGGACTCAGCTTCTTTTCATTTTCTCCCCTCTCCACTTCCTCTCTATTTTCCATCTCAATCATTGGATTCATTTTTAAACAGTTAAAATTTGATATTTTATTAAATTATAATTATATTCATTTTTTATAAAGTTTTACATTTTAATAATAATTTTATGAAATATTAAATCTCAACCATTCAAAAATGAATCCAACAGTTGAGATGGAAAGTGAAGAGAAAATGAAAAGAGAAAAAAATGAAGAGAAGTCAAGTTCAATTTTATATGTTGAGATTTGGCCAAAAATGAGGGGCCAACATTTTTTTTTCCCCGAAAATATGTTTTTTGGGGTGAAATTTTGAAAAGAATTGCATGAATGCCATTCATGTGTGGTCTTTTCAACTTGGGTGACAACTCCATCCCCAAATCTTGATCAGTTACTCTTCAACCTCCTTTCCATGATCTTTCTACTGTCAATGTGAGTCGTACCAAAACTTTCCCAACAAAAAAACATAAATGTAGTTGTGGCATGCTAATGCACACACCCACCTACAAGGCATGTGATATATATAAAACGAAATATATTGTATTTAAGTAAAGTTTAATTTGAAGTATTTTAGCTTCTCTAATACATGCATCAATTAGATAAGTACTCCATGGGTTAAAAAATATAAAATATTTTTTGAGGATTTAAATATTAAAAAATGTAAGATATTTTTAGTCTTTTAAGATATAATCATTACCTTTTTTTTTCAAGAGTGTCCCTATTGATAGTGACTTTATATTTATTATAGAATGTTTAATAAGAGTAAATATAAAAAGATAGAATTAGTTTGAAAGTAGGTTACTACTTTATTGAGAATAAAATTTAGTTAAAAATATTTTACATTTTTAAACGGAGAAAGTATATATGACAAATGGTATATCCAAACTAGAGTCTCTATTTCATGTTAATTTTGGGTTAGAAACTTCTAGTGTGCCTTTTTTTAATGTTCTTTATGATATTTAATTTTCTCAATTCTATTTTTTTCTTTTATTATTGACTTCTATATAAAATAAAAGACATATATTCTGATATCTTAAAGTTTTTAAATGGTATAATTTTATACTTTTTATGATTTTTTTAAAAATGTTAAATTTATACACTTATCTTAGAAAAATAGTAAAAAAATATAAAATTATACCGTTTTGAAACTTCAAAATATTAAAATGTGTATTATTTTATGTAAAAGTCAATTATTGAAAGCAAGAGGAAAATCAAAGTTGGGAATGTGAGATATTACAAAGAGTATTATATAAAAATACATTAGAGGCCTCTAATCTACTCGTTGAATTTATATGAAATATAAATATAGAACAAAAAACTATATTTAATTTCATGAGTTATGAAAAGAGCATGTCAAGTTTTTTAAGTATATGTATAGTCTAGGGAAATACTTAGGTACTTAATATTATTTATATGTACTTAATATATTTTTATCTAATTAAATCAAAGCAAGTGAATTTTAATATATTAATAAAATTATTAATAAGAATTTATTATAAAATAAATAATTCATAAAAGATACACATGCATGTATTGATTTAATTAGAAATAAGTTACTTAAATTTATAAGATTAACTGTATAAATTCTTTTCTAGCCAATACTCACCCTCACTTGTATAAGATTTCGTTCTCATCCTCACTTATATATGCTTCCACGCTTCTTAAAATACTCGGTTTGAAAGAACAAACTAATACAAACTCGTCTTAATTACACGTATGGCGCTTACTTTCAAAATCAAAACACGATAAATTGGACAAGTAAATAAAGCAACAAAAAAGGGATGCCGCCTCTAGCCACAATCCTAATAACATGTCTTAAAAGACTCTCATGGTAACATTGATTGTGGAAGACTATTGTTCTAATTGGCAGAGTGAGGGTTTCGAATGAGCTTGGAGCTGGGAATGGAGAAGGAGCCAAGTTTGCAACGATAGTTTCAGTGGCGTCATCGACGATAATAGGCGTAGTGATATGTGTCTTAATTATGATCTTTCACAACCAAATCAGCCTTCTCTTCTCTTCAAGCAAGCCTGTTCTTGAGGAAGTCAAGAAGCTCTCTCTTCTGCTAGTCTTCACAATTCTGCTCAACTGCGTTCAACCTGTACTCTCAGGAGTGGCTGTGGGGTCAGGTTGGCAGTCCTACGTGGCATACATAAACGTCATCTGCTACTATCTCATCGGCTTGCCTTTAGGATTTCTGACCGGCTGGGTCTTCCATCTGGGGGTCATGGTATGTCTTGGTCTTTAACTCGATCTGTCTTCTTGTGTTGAATCTGAATTTAATTAGCATTTCCTAATTATAACATTACAGCACTTTGATATATATATATATATATATATTTGTTGCAGGGTATCTGGGCAGGGATGATATTTGGTGGTACAGGAACTCAGACACTAATATTGGCCTTCATCACTGTTCGCTGCAACTGGGACACACAGGTTATTAATAAATACCTACAAATATATACTTCACTTAAATTAAAGATCAAAGAACCTGAATAAACATACTCATAGTTTCTGGTTTCAAATAACACGAGGCTTAATTATATATAAATTGGGGGTGGGGGGTGTTTGAAAAAATGCAGGCAGAGGAAGCAAGCTTGCAGATAAGGAAGATGGAAGATCAGAAGCCAGAAAAGAATATGACAATGGATCAGAACAACGAGAGAAGCAGGTCTTCTCCTTCTTCGTTACCCTGATGGAAAAAAAAAACAAAAGAATATTTGAGTCGCTCTCGTAGATGAATGTTTCCTCGATCTTCAGTTTGTTGTTTGTGAATGGTCCAACTCCAACCCAACTGTCTGTCTTCAATGCTTTTTATTTGATTTGATACAGCCTGCATTATATTTATTATATGATCGATATATCTGTGTGCAGAATTGAAAAATAATTTACAAAATTATTATAAATCATTGAAAACCGACTTAAAATTTTATTAAGGTTGAAGGACAAAAATAACAACTTTTTCTCTAAGAATACTTGAGTATCCTCAAGTGAATGAAGGTGTAACAATATCTAAAAACTTGTTATAAAGAGTGAACAGTTTTCATTTTATTAATGACTCGTTTGGTATATTGAAATTAAAATTAGAGAAGTGGAAGTGAGAGTGAAATTGAAAAAATAAATGTTTGGTGCATTGTAACTCAGTTCTAGGTGGAACTTACTTCCATAAAAAATGATAGAATTAACTTCCATGCTACTTCTTTGATCCTAATTATAAAGTACTTTCAACATGTTTCATCAAAATTAAAAAAATCTTAAAACTCATTAAATTTGTCTAAAAATTTAATAATTTCTCAATTTTATCTCTATTAAATATACATATTTTAATAACATATTTTCTCTCTCCAACATTTAATGAAAGTTGAGTGAAAAAATTTACAATAAAATTTAATAAGATGACTTATAAATAGAATTAAAAAAATTATTCTCTCTTTGCCTTATAAATGACACAAGAGGGAGGATACACTAAGGAATTGGTTTAAGTTCTCTATAAGTTAGATTTTATGACCATCATGCCCTAAGCTATTTTATCAATTTACATATTTTGCCCCTCTAGATTTGTAAACATATTTCACCTCTCTTCTCGATTCGGACTTTAGAACTCACCAAACTTGAACAATACTCACTGAAGAACAAACACTCAAAGCTGATAGTAGTGGAGGACGTGAAGAGCAAGCTCAACCAAGTGTTGAATGCTTGTTCGTCAACCAAGAAAAGTGGATCTGCTTCTTTTATCAGGCGGGTTGAGATTATCAGATCAGGTCGAGAAATAGATCAAGAAAGTCCATCACTGGCGCCGGCGCCGTTGCCCCTCTCCCTTTCTCTCACTCAATTGTCGGCGCCACTACCCCTCTCCACCTTTCACCCAATCGGCTTCTTTCTCTCATCTCTCTGACTCTCTCATATATAGATCAAACGCCTACTTACCATTGCCCCCTCTCCCTTAACTGTTTTCGATTATTTCAGATTTGGGTCAACGGTGGATTTCAGAGCAGCAACCGACAAGTGTTTTTTTTCTTTTTTTTTTTTAATTTCGGCCTTAGATGTTATTAAATGCTTGGCTAATTGGCTTTTATTTGCCTTAAACTTCTGGGTTTGTAGTGGTCTCTTTTGTTCTAGGATGATGATTCCCGGCGGCTGCGAAGAGACTTCTTCTTCTTCTTTTTTTTTTAGAAACTGTGAAGACACTTTTTTATTTCTTCGATGATGGTTTTTTTGTTCTTCTTGTTCACGGTGGAAGAGTTTTTTTTTTTTTTTCTGTATAGAGGGCAATTTGATATTTTTTATATTATTAATACATATTTCAATTAAAAATTATACCCTAGTTTCAGGTGCATTTAAAACATGTTTTAAAACTCATTTTTCCTCACTTCCACTTCATCTTCCACCTCTACTTTCACAAAAAATTCTTTCATGCTACCAAAAAAAGATAAATTAACTAATCTCCAATAACATTGACCATTAAATTAAAAAACAAAAGTAAAGATAAGATGCAAAAAAATACCAGAAACTTTTTCTTTAGAAGTTTTCTAGTATATCTATAAGTTAATAATTGTGCACGAGTACCTACTAATTTATAAAAGAAGCTATATAGCCAAATTTAACTCTAACCACTCAATCTTTCGAGCTTATTTGAATTGGCCCAAATAGTCAATTTTTTAAATATCATTTTATTTTATTTTTTAGTCAATTTTAATTTTAATTTTTAAAAAATTAAGATTTTCAATTTTTACCTAATTTAATTTTAATTTAATTAATATAATTTTGGATATTTGGGAGAAGCCTCTTCGAATTTGGGCTTAGTTTGGATTTCTTTGACTTTGCTTGCATTACTACAAAAATAGGCTTTAATGGTGTTTAAAATTTTAATTTTGTGACATTTATAAAACGCTATAAAATTTAATACTATTTTAAATCTTAGGTGGCGTTTCATTAATTAATGAAATGCCACAAGAACTAGCAACAGTGGTAGCGTTCTCAAAAAAAAACATAACTTTTTTACTTACTTTTGAAAAATAAAAAGGAAGAGAGGTGGAGTTTTTTTTAGGAAATGCCACCTCTTTACTTAATTTTTAAAAAAATAAAAGGAATAGGTGATGTTTCCTGCATAAGAAACGTCACCTATCTCCTTTTATTTTTTTAAAAAATTAAAAAATATCTCTTTTTTAAAATATATGTTATATCTATATATTTTTTATATCTATCAATTCAGTCATATACATAATTTTCTTAGTAAATACACACAGTTAATTTATACAATAAACTTTAATTATATAATTAACAAAAATAAATAATCAATTTCATACTATATAAAACTACAATAAATTTAGCAAGGTCATAAAAAATTAAAGATAAAAAATAAATTAAATATTTGTTAAGAGATATAATAAGGTTTATCAGCAATTTTTTTATAATATAGTTGTAAAAAATAATACTTACAACAAAAATAAATAAAACAATAAATTGAAAAAAATGATGATTAATGTGTAACAATTTCTTCCTCAATAATTAATAAAGATTATCATATTATCTTCTTGAAATTTCAAAACTTGACAAAACCAAATCATTTATCATTGAAAGCCCAAAGATTAAGATCTCACTATCTATCCCCCAGATTTGAATAAAGATTTATACTCAGAGAATTATTTTACCAACAAATGTGTTGGTAGCAAATTGAAAAAACAAACCCTTCAATAATGGAAAGAAAAATTGTGAACTGAAGATAAACAACAGCAAAAACCATAAAGATCTATGTATATATATAGATAGGTAGATAAGAGGTAATAAAAATAAAAAAAACTTATTATTAGTATATACATACAAGCAACCTAGAGAAGACGACAAGAGCACCTTCAGCAATTAGTGGATAAATCTAGAGAAGACGACAAGAGCACCTTCAGCAATTAGTGGATAAATAACTCGTGGATTATAAGAGAGAAGAGTGAGCAGCTGGATGAAGAGAACGACTTGTATTAAAAAACTTAGGGTTTCCAAAATTAAATAAGAGTTAAAAATTAGAATTTTTAACACATAATTAAAACTCACAGTGGTGGCGTTTCCATCAATAGAAACACACCTCTTCCGCATTAAATAATTTTTTAATATTTAAAATAAATAAATATTATTTAATGCTTATATATTTTAAAATAAAATAATGAGAAAGGAAGAGAGGTGGCATTTTCAAGTTTGGAAACCACCCTCTCTTTAATTATTTTTTAAATATTGTTATATATTAGTTTAAATACTTAATAAGTAAATTATAATAATAATAATTTTTTAATATGATAAAATAAATTTTTAAATCAATAAGGGAGTATAGAGAATGATATTTTCAAGCACAAAAATATGGCCTCTCTTATTTTATTTATTAAATGATGTGATATACTATTTAAGCTTATTCTTTAACCAATTATATAAAATAATTATTTAATATAATAGAATAAAATATTAAATCAATAACAGGGTAGAGAGGTGACGTTTCCAACCAAAAAAATGCCACTCTCTACTTTCTAATTATTAGATAATAATACATATTAATAATTAATATTAATTAAATAAATTATAATAAATAATATTTTATCTTATAATAAAATGTTAAAAAAGGAAGAGAGGTGGCATTTTTCAAGCTTGGAAATTTCACTCTCTTCAATTATTTTTAAATTTTTATATATTAGTTATAAATACTTAATAAGTAAATTATAATATAATAATTTTTAATATGATAAAATAAATCTTTAAATTAGTAAGAGAGTATAGAGAATGATATTTTCAAGCACAAAAAACTTAGCCTCTCTTATTTTATTTATTAAATGATGTGATATAGTATTTAAAATTATTCCTTTAACAAATTATAATAAATAATAGTATAAATCTGATAGAATAAAATATTAAATTAATAATAGAACAGAGAGGTGATGTTTCCAAGCTGAAGAAATACTACATCTCTACTTTCTAATTATTAGGGTAATAATACATAGTAATAATTAATATTAATTAAATAATTAAAATAAAATAATATTGTATCTTATAATAAAATGTTTAAAAAAGAAGAGAAGTGGGCATTTCCAAGTTTGGAAAACACCACATCTCTTCAATTATTTTTTAAAATTTTTTTTTAATATTAGTTATAAAAATTTAATAAGTAAATTATAGTGTAATAATTTTTAATATGATAAAAAATTTTAAATTAATAAGAGAGCATAGAGAATGGTATTTTGAAGTACAACAAACATGACCCTCTTATTTTATTTATTAAATAATGTGATATACGGTAAAATTGTTTTTAACAAACTATAATAAATAATTATTGAATTTAATAGAATAAAATATTAAAATTAATAACAGTGCAGGAGGTGGCATTTCCAAGCTAAAGAGATGCCACCTCTCTACTTTTAAATGTTAGATAAATATATATTAATAAGTAATATCAATTAAATGAATTATAATAATAATTTTATTTTCTAATAAAAATGTTGAAAAAGAAAGGGTGATACATTTTCAAGTTTGAAATGCCGCCGCTCTTTCAATTTTTTTAAATTTTTTTTTTATATATTAGTTATAAATATTTAAAAATAAATTATAATGTAAATTTTTAATATAATAAAAAATTTTAAATTACTAAGAGAGTATAGAGAATAATATTTTAGAGCACAACAAACATGATCTTTTTTGTTTTATTTATTAAATAATGTGATATACTATTTAAAATTAGTTTTTTAATAAATTATATTAAATAATTATTTAATTTAATAGAATAAAATATTAAATCATATAATAGAGACGTGGCGTTTCCAAGTTAAAAAAATGCCACCTCTCTACTTTTAAATTATTAGATGATAATATATATTAATTAATTAATATC